GTTGAGGCTGAAAAGAAGGCAAAGGAGGAAGACCGAAAGAAGGAAGAAGAGAAGAAAGCAGAGGCTTTGAGGATTGAGGCCGCGAGAAAGGCAAAGGAGGAAGAACACAAGAAGGAAGAAGATATGAAAGCAGAGGCCTTGAGGTTTGAGGCTGGAAAAAAGGCAAAGGAGAAGGAAAACCAAAAGAAAGAAGAAGGGAAGAAAGCTGCAGGTGACCTGATGGCAAAAGCCACCACTTTGCTGTTCCAATTCAAAGAGGCTATGAACAAGCTATCGGTTTCAGACCCGGAACACATTCACTTTAAGAAGGATTGCCACAACTACCTGGCGAATAAGCTCTTCGGAAGAGCTTCAGCGGAAACAGTGGAGGATGAAAATGACGCAGGCAGCGATGGAGAAGTGGAAGCAGAAGGAACAGCTGCAAAAGCACAAGGGACATTCCAGGACAGTGCCTGCATGTGCATCGATCGATTGTTATATCAACTCGGTACTGAATAGCTAGGGTTTTGCCTTGGGTTGGACAAAAACCTCTAGATTTCATAATTTTTGGTGCTTTGGGATTTGATTTGGATCAACTTCTTACATGAACTGCCTCCCTTGTACAGGACAGGAAGCCTTTGACGGAAGAACTACCTGAGCTTCCAAACATTGCGCACCTGATTGGTGACTCAAAGGATGAGGCATTAATATCTGATGTTTTGAAGAACCAAAGGGAGCTGAGGGCCGAGAAGAAGAGGGCTATTCGAGATCAGCAGGCGCAACCCAAGAAAAGAGGAAGGCCACCAAAAAATCAAGATAAGCAAGAAGACCAAACCAAGCCAGAAGGTCAAGAAGCAAAGGAAGAAGAGGAAGAATTGTCAATGGAAGCTGATCTTGATCAGGCAGATCAAGAAACGAAAGAGGAACGGGCTTTTGATGAGGATGAGGCAAATGAGAAAACAAAGCCCAAATTACCTGTGCATCGATCCAGAACATCAGGAAAAGGTCGGGGGCGTGGACGTGGTACAGCTTCTAGCGTGACTGCCAGAAAAAGAAGGAATTCGAAGGAGGAAAGTTTCGAATCTGAGGGAGCTTCCAGGTGAGCAAAACCATCGCGTCCAAGGAGAAGGAACCTGATGCATCAGAACTGGGTGGGAAGAAAATGAGCCCAACAACTCCAGAAGAGGAGGGGAATCCAAAAAGGATCAAATTGGCAAAGGAGGCAGCTTCAAAGAGAAAGCCGGCTGCAGCAGAAGGCATTCGAGACCTAAAGGAAAAGGAGGACACACCGGAAAAGGAAGACTCAGCAAAGGTGAAGGATGCAGCTCCAAAGACCAGGCCAGCTTCAGCGAGAGGTAAAGAACAGGAGGGCCAGAAGAAGGATGCAGAGGGGAAGAAGGCTGGTGCATGCACATGCACACATTATATATATAGTGCAGTGCAATTTGATTTTTGTTGGTCATCTTAATTAACACGCTGTGAATTCGGGAGTTATATTAGTATTCGTTCAGGTCACACAGCAAAAGCCACGACCCAAAACCTCTAAGCACTGACTAACGATTAATTCACTTTTCTGGTACAATCCAGCCTTCTCTGATGGTTCAGGAATCGTTCAACCTTCTCGCACTGCGTGACATGGCCAAGAGGAGGATCGAAAGAGATGATTTTAAACGCAAGAGAGGAGTCAAACGAAAGAGAGGAGTCAAACGAAAGAGAGGAGTCAAATGAAGAAAGAACGGAGTCAAACGACGCCACACGTGTGGCTTGTACAATGGCTCCCTGTGGGACCGAAACCGCGTGTGCTGCGACCTCGTGGACTGCAGTAGTTAACTCCAGCATGTGAATGCCTCATTCGCCTTGGCAAAAGTGTCTGGACCTGCTTTCAAGCGTTTTCAACATTTAACGGTAGGTCATGTTGATGCAGCGCTTATCGTTTTGAAGCACAATGTAGGGAGAGACACGCTTTCATTTTGTCAACGATGGGGCATTCTGCATGATGTGGACTGTTTGATTATGATTGAAGATTTGGTGTGCTGCAACCCGACAAATCATTGATGGCCCATGTAGTCATGTATTTCACAATCATTGGAACCTTTGACTGCAGTGAATCTGTGGTACCTAGGTATAATATCAATCCCCCAAAGGTCCAATATCGATTGGTGTTTGTTTGTTTGTTTGAAGACTTTGTCCTCACTGAACACCAATGAAATTTCAACAAAACACACGGATTTTCAATGCCAAAATTGGTGATGCCTTTGTAACCCATGCATGGCGTACAATAATTCAAAGATCACATGGCATCCATTCTTTGCACCTGCAGAGGGAGCAAAGGACAGCTGACAATCAACATGAGCGGCCAATGGATTTATATAATGTGGATCGAACATTCGAATTTATCCTATTCGCAGGCTCGCCAGTAGAAGCTTTGTGTCAAGGGCTGATGGCCGCAGCGGGTGAGCTGCACCATGAAGGCACTCGGATTTCAATCCGGCCAGACGAAAACCATGGCATGACCACAGCCATCCCTTCGTTCTTTGGAGCGCCTCCCAGCTGCAATCAACTTCCTTGCACCTCTTTCTCAGATGATTTGCTAGGTGTTCCCGGTATTCGCCGGTATGCCTCCAACAACGGCACCTTGCGGGGCCATCGCAACAACCTCTGGAACTTCAAGAGGACGGGTTTGGCACCCAGTGAGGTCACGGAGACGTACAAAACATCGAAGAGTGGAGATGGGGCTCCACTCAGCCAGTTTGCCCAAAAGAGCCACGTCAACAAGTGGTGCCACAGTGAACCAGATCGGTCAGTCAGGCCAAATGCATGATCAGCATGAGGGCATGCCTTTTTCCACTTGGTCTACGGCCAGATAGGCCAGACCCTTGAAGTACTGGCAGGTCTACTTCTGCCGACCTGGGTTTCCAGAAGCGCTTCTAATGTTGTCTTCGAGCGTGCATGTGGCCGCTCCAGGAGAGTGCGAGCAAGTGGCTGTTTTCCACGACTTCAATTTCCACCCTAAAAGATCCTAAAAGCAACCCCTCTTGGATTTTCTGAAACCTGCCCGGTTCCCTCTCAACCAGTGAAGCTGCACCACAACAGACCCGGTCAATGGTGCATGTCCCTCCAACTTTGTTAGGTCTCAGGAAGTATGAAAGCAAGAACTCTCATGAGACTCATTCAGGTGTGCGTTTGTGGGTTTCAAACCATCGAAAACTTCACATCGTCAAGATCGATGACCTGGGTTCCTCAGATTCAGATATTGTCCTAGTGCGGCTTAAGGCATTTTTTACTTTCCCTGTTGGTGAACCTCCTTCTAGGGAATACAAGTTATTCTTCGGAACCAGATGTCCTCTCTCAATGTTGTAGCCTTCCCAGGCAAACAACCAAACAACGGCCATCGATATGCCAGCCAATACGCTCTCAGAAGGTGTCCAACGCTGATCTAGGATGATCTAGGCTCAGCTTGCTGGTTATACATCCCATCCCATAAATCTGTTGTGTTATGGTCATGAACTGTTCAATGTTACTTGGATATTGGATGTGGATGGATGTGGAGTAGAAGGCTGATTGTTCTTCCTGATGAGGCTTTGCTGATCTTCTGGTTGACGGCCGGCGTCGCAGTGTTGCTCTTGCAGTATGGCCCAGGCAGATCGTTCTATGAGCCGCTTGATCTTGAAAATTAGAGATATATAAAGGTGTTCCTTAGGGTTCCAGCTACCTACCTCCTCCTATTGGTCTAGAGGTTCCTTAGGGGTTTGTGAAATTTGCATGAGTTTGCATCTGAAAGATATCGAGGTTGAAGATGGGACATGCATTGAACCGGGTACTCTTAGGGAATTCATTCGACAGATTGAATTTGGATGGATTTCAAGAATCCGCAGGAGGGTGCCATATTCAACAAGCGGTGTCCTCGGCTTGGGGCATTTCCATCGAGCGCACTCCCTGAAATGATGGAGGTGCAGAAGTGGATGGAAAATGGAAGACCTTTAGAGGATTGCATGATGATCACCTGTTTGGTCTGAGGATCCAGCTACCTCCTTTCAAGGATCCAGCTACCTACCATGCAATACTCATACCAAACAGGTCCTTCACTCCACTTCCCGTTTTCCGCAGTCGGAATCCTTGGGCCCAACGCCCAACACCGGAGACAGGACGTCGAGACCGAAATGGGGTGACCGACATGGACATTTCCCTAGGGATCCAAGTACCTCCTCAAAAGGTACTTGGACCCTCCAAACCCACCCCCCAAACACCTTCTCAGAGGGTACTTGGATCCTTAGGGTTTATGAAGGTGATAGTGTTCGACACTTTGATGGTGGTCTAGGGAGATGTTTCCACAATGTTAAGATTAACGTTCTTGGTTTCTCAACCATTCACCTTTGCACTCAAACGGGGGATTTGACATCAGACAGTATCCACTGCATTATACTGGATTCTTAGGGTGTACCGGAACCGACTGGGTGTCGCCCGGGCGAGAAACCACTTCGGGCGCTGCACAGCAACGACTCTAGGTGGGTGTTTTATGTTTTTTTGAAACACTTGGGTGTGTAGATAAATAAGGAGACCCAGAACCAATGGGTAGACATGTCTAATTCCTTTATATCTTTGGAATCCTTTGGAGATCCTGGGAGTTGGCCCCTAAACCCAAGTCTTCTCAATCAAATCTTCCCCACTTCCACCCCAGCCTTTCATTTTTTTCAGCGCGTCCTTCATCGAAAGTCCGCTCAGTTGCAGATACCACTCCCTCCCAGGTTTAGCACCTCCATCTTGCTGGACTTGCCACCAGAGCAGTGGACCAAAAAGGGCGACAACTTCATCATGGCAGCTCGGACCACCGGAAGAAAAAAACACGCTCTCCCCGCTGGACTTCACCAGGAGAGGTCGCTTTTTGGACCGGTCCAAGGCCTTGGTGTTCACCCGTGGCGTATTTGGTTCAACTCCCAGAGAATGAAAGAGTCGATGTCCAAGGGATGGTGTAGTTGTCATCTATAGACTGTTTCATAAACCGATAGATACCAGGAGTCACATGGAGTTGGGTGGTATTTCGTCCCATCCAGTGAGTGGATGTGACAGGGGCACCCCTAGCCTTCATTAAGCATGCCTTTGTGACTGCTGGTAAATGTTTCAACCTTGGTGAAGAGGTTTTACAATCCATGTTTGGGGATTTAAAACATCAGTGTCCATGTGTGAAATCCACTGCCTGAGTGAACTTTTTGGAGGGGATGAGTGAGCAAGCAGCGGTGGTTGGAGGGTCAACTATTCAAAAAATCAACATGCAGATTGGTCGGAGCCAAAGGATTCTTAAGACACCTTCATAACAGTAGCATGATTGGAGCCAACCAGGAGCCCAGGCTTTGAGAGGTCTACACACCCCACTGCGTGGTCGGATGCCCCAAAATCCTGCACTTCCGGTGCTTTGCTGCAGCAAGTGGGAGCTTGGGCCATAGATTATGCTCCTTGGAACCATTGTTTGCCAGATGGTACACAGGCATAAAGCTTTATATAGTATATGTATAGTATATGTATAGTATATGATATATGTATACTGTATACACCTCTTCACCCTCTTCACCAACTTTGGGTCTTGGAAGACACGCCTAATTAGCGTGTGATGGGATTCAGCGGCGCTTCCGCGGTGTGAAACACCGGGCCACATGGGAGGTGGCTGAGGCAGCTGTGACGGGGGGTGACTGAGGCGACGCTCTTCTTGGTGAATCTCACCGTGCTGTTGAATGCAGGCTTCGTGTGCCTCGTTTGCTGCAGATGGGTTGCTTCAGTCGTTGACTGTTTACCTGCCAGGTGTCAACCGGGTGTTCATGTTCTGTGGGCTTGAAGCCGAGGGTAAACCTCGAGACCTCCAAGATCCTGGTTCTTGACTGTGGCAGTATCTGGAATCAACTAGGTGAAGCTTAAGAAGGGAGCATGGATAGTAGGATGGGACAATTTCGTGAGGGTCCCAAAGGCATGCAGACACCACCAAGGATAGGGTAGCAGCGAGGAGAGATTTATGGATCAGCAATCACCATGCAATGTGCCCAAACCGTCCTTGACCCAACATCACCAACTCACCCTCACAGACACCACCAAGTGCCAGTGATGTGGCATGACCAAATAGAAAAGGACACATTCCCCTCTTGAGTTCAATGAACCGAATCGTGGATTCAAAGGTATGTTGTGAACTGTGATGATACTCAGTGTTCATTGCAGTATAGTCCCTAAGTCCCTAAGGCTTTAAGATACCCTTGTGATAAGCTGTTTGGGTCTAAGTACCTTCTTCTGGAGTTGCAATCAATGTAGTTGTTCAAGAGTCCTAAACGATGATGTTTCCAAAAGGATTTCATTTATGATGATTGATGATTGATGGTCCTGGCCGATGTGTCTTTGAACACACCCCTCTCCTCCAATGGGCTCAACCACGTACACCCATCCGCTCCGGACAACGGACCGGTTGGCTTCGACGTGAAACCCCGACCCCGCCGGGGTGAGGCTCTGCTATGGCCATGTCCATCGGCAAGTGGTGGGTCACTTGGCCCCTTCCGCGGAGTTCGGAGCGGAACGTGGGCTTCGGAACGGAGCGGGTTTCGGGTTTCGGGAGCGGGAGCTGCGAAGGGGTCGGGAGTGGGTCTGTGCACCGAAAGACCTTGGGTCGGTATAGTTTCTTAATGATAACAATTTAAGGGTCAATGATGGTGCCAATGTCCGGGTAACTAGTCCATACATGGAGGGTCTCTTTTATATGCACATAGTTGCATACCATTTGATGTTGCTAGTAGGTTGTTGGAGGCCATAAGACTTAAAACCAATTTAAACACATGAAAACAACACTTACATACACATGTCATCTATGGCTCCGAACGTTCCGAGTCCTCCGAGTCTATCCGGCCCGTTTCGTCCCTGGAGGTCGAGCCGTCACCATTGCCCGGAACATGGCAATGGGGCTCCAGTCGTACCTGTCTTTTTCCATTCTCTAAGGTACTTTGGATTCTCCAGGCTTTTTCTAAGCTCTTTTTAAATGTCCAATTTTCTTAGGTAGGAACTGGAGGGTTTAGGTATTTTGTTGGTTTGTTCATCGTGTCAGAACTGTTGTTGAGGTCCGCGTTTGATTGGGCTGAGGAACTCTCGTGGGACCACCGGGCTGACGGGGACGTGCCAAGGGATCCAAGGAACAGCACTGGCACCGCTCTTTTTCAATCTTTTTCATTGAGTTACTCCGATCAAAATGTTGATGGCGTAAAGAAAAACATAGCACCGTCTATAGCCCATCTATTTCGAGTTGCGCCATCTTTTTGTATCACTCTCCCTGGAACTAACATGGTTACGTGGATGGCTTTCCAATGAAGGAAGACCACTATATACTCCACTTCCATTTTAGTTCCAGAGAGTGTATAGATTGTCATCCCCTCTGAATCGGTTCATTGAGGGTACTGTTGACCATCAAAACCTTGGCATCATCGTATGAGAGGACCAAGAATCCCGGCTCTGAAAGAAGGAATGAACTCCTACTCCAGAGATGTTGACAGCATGAACACCTTTTTTTGAAGGGTCGGGGCCCACTAAACAAGAACAAGAAAGGTCGGTTCACCTGGTTGACTCCCAAAGATTCGCTTCTCTTGGCCACACTCCAACAGTGTTGCACACTGTTTGGGAGTCCGAACTCGTTTGGGAGTGGGGTGGGGATCTCCGTTCTGGGGGCCAAAACGGCGCTTTTGCTGCGTGAAGTGGCACGTTCTGATCGGAGGCCCAGCAAAAACACTAGAAAACACATTGTACTCGCATTGTAACTCAACAACCAAAAAAAGCTCAATATGGCTGAATAGCAAAGAGTATATATATATGTATTTATATACAGATTAACAAACCATGGACTCGATATAAATATGGCTCAATAACAAAGCATGAAGTCATGCTCAACAACTCAGCTTGTGTTCCCAACTCCAGACTCCTCGGAGCTCCCGGAGGGCCGCCCGTGTTCGCCGCCCGTGTTCGCTCGACTTGAAGAGTTTCAGTGGGCCGCGGTGCCTGTGGTCTCAGTTTCTGAAGTCTCAAGAACACCTGTTTTAAATAGCCTCCAACCTAATAGCGATGTCCTCCAACCTCATAGCGCCTTGTTTAATCAAAGCATATGTGTTTTTCATTGTTTGTTCAATTCGCCAGTTAATGCTCCAGGCAAGAACTGGCGCATTTGCAGCTTCTACTTGTGCGGCCTCTTCTTCACTTTGGCACTTCTTTGGGCTCACCCGGGGAACTTCAGCTGTTGCTTGGCAGGAGAGAGTGTATGCATTTAAGCAAGGAGACCTGGAATCCCAATGGGTTTGGGTATATGGTCCTTCTTCCAGGGGGTCTTTGGGAGCTCTCCCTATTCTAATACCCAAAGACCCCCTGGAAGAGGGGCCCAATAGAGAGACGTGGACCTGGGGTCGATGGAAGGGGTCTCAAGGCGTCCTTGGTCTTTGGGCCCAAGAGATGGTGGATCGATGGGCTTGGGAGGCGGTGATCGAGTTGGTGAGGGGCCAGTTCGTGGATAGCAAAGCCTGGCCGCCCGTGAGACACCGTGAGACGGATCCGCTTCGTAGTTGCATCAAGCATCAACCCAACCGATATAGAGCTACAGTGCCTGGTTCGGTTCGTTCCTGCCTTTTGCACCAAAAAAGCCGCCGGCTCGGCTTTGTTGGACCAAGATGAGGGGAAGAGCAAGTCATCGATGCCCTGTATACGTTCGTGGCCCCATAATCCGAGTCTGACCTGGTCGTGTATTCCAGGTGATGCATGCAGTGACCAAATTGGTAGTGGTGCACCATGCTCTTCTAGGTGGTTTTGGATATGTTAACTTTCTTGGGATGATTCAACCCACTGACTAAGATGTTTCGTTTGCGAGTTGGAACCAGCAACCAGTCGACTGGCCTAAAATGCCCTTCTTGGCTGATCTTTGGACAGCACTGGAGTTGACAGCACCTGAAATCGTCGATGCTTCTGGCCTAAAATCGTCTTCAGCTCGCGATGCAACCACACCGATTCAGGCACCTTCCGAGTCAACTGCGATTCAGCCGCTCGGCTCGGTCGTGGGTTTCTTCGGGTTTGATACATGTGTTCATCTCTGAAAAAGTCGGTGGTTTCATCCCACATCGACCTTGATATATGTCATCTACTACAAAAAAACGGTGTTTCATCCCATATCCACCTCACTTTAGTTTGGAGTTCCTGAGAGTTCCCACAGGTTTCCACTTCAGAGCCCCCACCTTTGGCTCGAACACGACCACTGGTCCGAATGCTTTCGATGCTTTCGAGGGCGGCCCAGCCTTTCTCGGTGATGCTAGCGGGTTCCGAACTCGGTCTCTTTGGGCAGAATCTATACATGGAACTCCATGGTACTGTGTTATAATTGGTTGATTTGGGTTGGTTTGGGGGTCAATGTACTGTAGCTAGGCCATGGAGTGTCTCGGAGTCGGGGACCTAGGAACCGGAGCAGACACGGACCAGTGCCCACCGCGTCGCCTGCAGGTGGTCCCCTCTGAACCTGCCGAAGCGGCGCAAATATCCACTCCAAGGAAAGACGTAACCATGGAAGCGGAGTGAAGACACCGGTTTGCAATTCTTCCAAAGGGTCCGTCCTCAGGCCTCAGGGCCCATCCGTCCGAGCTCACCACCACGCCCAACACACGGCCACGTCCAAACACTCCGTCTGAGGTGGCCTCCCAGAACATGAACATACCGTTGCTGAGCAAGCCCGCCACTTGGCCCCCAAAGGTCGCGGTTGGAGTGAAAGGGTTGGCATGGAAATAGCATTCCCGAGACGCTCCATGGGACTGGAATATATGCCGCCCGATTGACCCCCCAAAGCATCCCCATGTAGGCAAATATGCCAGTCCCAGGGAGCGTCTGGCATTGGGTAATGGTTTCTGGAGATGAAACCACTGAGATTCGATGGACATCATGCAGATTTATCGGAGTTAAGAGCCGTTTTTGCTTCACCAAATCTTTTCCTGGAGGTTTGATTTGGTTGGAAACTTCTCTTGGGGTGTTGTTGTGTGTCCGTGGTCAACAAGGCCGCTCTGAATTGGAAACACTTGTGACAGTGTTTTATCCTTCTTTGTCAAGACCTGATCGTGATCAAGATAGTTTTGCATGTGAGCTCGACAAAGTCAATAGAAACATGTTGTTTGTCATTAATCCCATTTTACTACCAGCACCTTCCAACAAATCTTCAAAATGAAGGCTTTTGCAGACATAAAAGTCGCAGGTGACCTGGCAGTGAGGGTCCTGGTAGTTTGCTTTTCTGTTTGATGGGCCTACCAAGCACCAACGTTGACGGATTGTTTCTCAAACCGACCGTTTTGGTTTGCACTTGGAGGGTGCATCCCGATGATGCTTGTTAAATAGACCGTTTTCCTTATTGTGCAACAGTTGAAGCAAGGGAACAACTCCGAAAGAACAGTCTCTGATGCTGGTTTTTGTTCAGAACCAACATAATCGTCGAATTACAAGTGCGCACAACCACGTGGAACATCGAAATTCATTGCCCGGTTGCACACAGTTGGTGATGGAAGTTCATCGCCCAGTTGCATGTGGTTGGTGACACAAATTTAATCGATTTTAAGCTAAGGTGGGCGGTATCATCTTCTCCACGGGCAATTTGGGCGGATGCTTTTGGGGCCCGCAGATGGTCAGCTGCAAGAGCAAGGCAGGCCCGTTTCGCGCGCCATTGCCGGGGTTGGCGCCCGCGCCCTTTCAAGGTGAGCAGCCACACCCGGAGGTCGTACACAGTGTGGTAGCTGCCTTGATGAGAAACTGTTTCTTGGAGCACATCAGGAAGCACAGGATAGCCCCGCCACTGCTTGAGGTCCCGGAGAATAGAAAGCTCAGAGCATGGGCATCCGGTGTGCATTGAGATCAATGAAGTTCTGGGTGAGCCTGTTAGTGACAAAGACTGGGCATCCCTTGAGTTCGGCAAAGGCTTCACTGTCGACTATCGACACGCACATCAATGACGTGAAAGGTATTGACGACAAAGGGGTGTCACCTGAAAGGGACATGTGGGACACCACACGGGACAATGGCATCAGGTCGTAAAACCTCCCTGACCCTCAGTGTGGAGGCTCATACTAGAGGTCCTGTCAAGAGAGAGGTTCTCTCCAACTGAGATTCTCAAGGGCGTGATGAAGAGATGTGAGGCAGAGCTGCCAAAGGAAAGGTTCGTGTGTGGGCTGAAGTCCAAAGAGAGGGAACTATCGCTGACCTCCAGGTTGTATGGTATGCTGTTTCTGGAGATCAGGACATATCAGGACCATATTTCCCTTTTTACAGAGGAGGCCCTTATCATCTGGTGTCTTCAGGTACTTTCCTCAGCAAACTATGACTTGTCTGAGCATGAGCTCCACTCTCGTTTGACAGCAAAGGAGCAAACACAGACTGCGAGCAGAACCTATGCCGTCGTGCGCATGCTGCTAGACTTCCTCAAATGAGCCATGCCCTAAGCCCACTTGCTTGTAGTGAGTAAGGCTTAGGTCTTGTCATAAGAGCTGGGTGCGCGTGTAAGTTTTTTTGTGTGTCTGTTGTTTTGCAGCTTGCATTTGATATGAGAACAGCTTTGGTTGAGGAGGTTTGTTGTGGTTACTGGTACTTGATCTTAGCTTTTCTTGGTCGAAGACAGCGCCGCTAAGAGAAGAGATGCTCAACGTCATGGTTCCCAGAAACAGGAACCTCACAAAATCGAGGAGAGTCACGGCGCTTTCCGCGTAAGGCGCGTTAAGCTCCACATAGGCAGCGCATAAGTCTCATGTCCGTCCGTGGTAGCCCACATGGGCTCCCAAACCCAAAGTCTTTTGCCTACTGCTTTGCTCATACAGTATACATGCTAACACCAAACACGTCCATGGAGGAGAAGCTCCTGGACTCTTGGCGGTGTCCACGACGCTGGGTGTTACATGGTTGTATCTGGTCTTTGGGTCTTTTGGCCAAATGATGTCTGTGATGTCGCTGTGCTATGCGGTTTTGCGCGGCCTCGGTGGAAAGTGCGTTTGCGCGAGTCCGTGCGTTTCGAGGAAGGAAAGCATGCTTCTGCACAAGTAGTATCTCTTGAACCCCCATCGTTGTACAAAGCATGTCGCGTAAGCATGTTCCCAGCGGATTCGCAAAAAGTCTACGAAGTCTGGCTCGTAATGGGTGAGCACGGGTTCTTTCCCCGACAAGAGTTCCATGGTTGTCGACAAGGCTTTTCATAAACATGACAGACATTACAATTTAGGTCCGACAAAGAAGAGTGGGGAAGTCGGACAACCAGCACGAGTGAATGTGCAATGTTTGAATGTTACCGCGGCTGCTTAGGTTTCACCTTGTATCACAAATTTCTCACGTCTTTGTAAGTTCTGACACGGACATATGCAGTGTAGGTTTTTCCAGAAGGCTTTGCAACGACTTACTTGTTGGGACTGTAGGTAAACCTTTTGCCAGCGATTTGGAATATGGACCTGTGGAAATGACTTGTTTAGATGGTAGCGCGCAGCTAGATAGGTTGTGCTGCGTGCCGTTGAGAGAGAAGCCTCAGGAGACTCCGAAACTTTGCGATTCCCTTGGTTCCTTGCAAATGATGCACCTTCACTTGGCCTATGAAGCGCCTTACCGGGCCTCACGGAATGGAAATTTGCTTCATTAGATCAGCACTTCTTGTTTGGCAAAAGGGTCGGTTGCCTCGCCTGCTCCTGATGGCAGTGGTTGTATTTGGTGACCATATCACGCCAGCGCATTTCATCCGCAGGCTTGCCGCTCAACGGGATCATGAATTTGGGCAACACATGATTCTTTGGGGCGGCAATGCAGGCTTTGAGGCCTCATCCATGTTCATCGGGGATATTTCAGCTACTGAGTACTGCCGCTCTTTATGTGCTCGTGCGGGGTCATTGCGGTCTCCATGCAATTGCCAGTCACGCGGCCCCGCTCTACGAGTTTCTTCATATGAGGAGCGCTGCCGTGCTTGCAACCGGCAAATTGACGGAACCGCCAAGGCCACTTTGCAATCATTTCAAACTGCTTCAGGCATGGGCGCTCTCATTCCGCATCGCCAAAAACAAAACTGGGTTTGTATTTTTCTGGCGTTTACTTCCTGATGTAGGGAAGATCGACTTGAGCCACCATTCTCCAAGACGCCCTACCTGGCTGGCAATAAGCCAGAGATTTCGCATGAACAGATGACAGACATCCCAATCAAACAACACTGCAACTGTTACAAATTCGCACGCAAACCAGGGAACCCGGAACCCTGCCAGACCCTTATACAAATTAGGTAGTGCACATGCATCAATGCAAGTCCACATGTTCATCAGCTTACCATTTGACAGTTATTTCCTTCGCAAGTCAACTCACATCCACTTCAATGACACCCGCGGACACACCTCACACGTGTACTGCTTTCAAACATCGTATCTCATGAGGATTTTTCACTCCGTGGCGCCCACACGTGGGGTCGCTCGTTCAGACGGACGTTCGCAAGTCCTGGCACCCCAACACATGTGTTTGGATGGTTTTGGTTTGAGTCCCTGCTTGCAGGGGGTTCGGGTGGTCTCCCCATTTTTAACACAAACCCGCAAAACAATGCAGGGTTTTGCATGATTTAACATACAACAAACGGTTATAAATATATAATTATATATATGGTGTTTTTCAGTTTGCCTTCTATGGTCTATTTTTTTTTAAGGCAGGGTGATAGTACTGATCCTGTCCGGGGGTTGTTCACTTGATGCTGTCTGTTTTGTTTCGCAGACCTTACGGAACACCCGTTTAACTATTGTGTTTGTTTAATTTGTTTTTCAAAAACAATCAAACACTACACATTATATTGCATGATGCAATATGATGTTTTATACATGGTCAGTTGTGTATTTCCACGGTTGTACACACACTAGCAAAGATCAACGCATTTCATAATGTAGTAAAACTACCTTTTCAAATAAACAATATATCCAGTTTGTGTTGGTTGAAAGTTGTCCATGGGGGGAGCCGTCAAACCTATATATTGCCTCCCATGGTGGTGTGTGGAAGGTTTGTGGAATGGAGGGTTGAAACAATGGCCGATTGTTTGTCAGTACAGTCCTAAGGCGCCTATATTTGTTGGTGTCCCATTACCTGTAACAGTCGGCAAACAAGTATCATTTGTTTAGAGAGAAATGGCCTCTACGGACCATCACTATCCACTGGGCCCAGGGAACGGGCTGTACGGATCTGAATCCTATATATCCCAGACACTCCATGTATGCTATATATGCCTGGCATATATGGCATACATGGAGTGTTTGGGTATATATAATATATATATATATATTTGTTGTTTGTACACCCGGGGAAAAGTGTAGTTTGGACCCTGCAAACAACTGGTTGGTAGAGGATCACCTTCTTCCAGCCAAAACCGTCCATTGAGCTTTTGGGATCGGTTGGGCATGACAGGTGTGTTTTAATATGGTTTTCAGGGTACCAGTAGGTGTCAGGCCTGGGAAGCGGGAACATGTATCAACAACTTTCATGGTGTTCAAAAGTCGTTTCACGTGTCGAATCCTTTCGGGACTCCTGTCCTACTGTTGTTTTAAAGGTCTTTGCCAAATAACCATTGAATGATTTCTACTGTATATTTTTACAGTAGACAAAAGCAGCCCTCTTGTAAAGGTCTTTGAAGACTCGCGTTTTGAAGGTATGAGTTACTTTGCTTAGACTCGAGCAGTTGACGATGAACCGTTTTTTGGCGTTCCATCCTAGTGCCCGGGAAGGTGATTTTTGGCAAGTAGAGAAGCCTCTGGGTGGCACCCACCCTCAAAAGTGTGTCTGTGAAAACCGCCGCCGGACTGATTGGCACAAAGTTTGTTCCCCAACACTGGAGTGTGTGTGTTTTGTTATTTGGGATGGATGCTTGTGGGATGCCGGCAGCATACCGTCCATCGCGCTTTCCAGGATGGCCACTGTTGGGTGACACCGCCTGAGGATGCTCAGCTGCCACCCAGCTGGAACTCCAATGCCACACGACCCCAGGTGGGGCCGCTTGCAAAAGTGCGGGAATGAAAACATGACGCCCTACAGGTCAAGAACTGACCTCATGAAATACTGGAGTTGGTCATACCAGAACACGACAAGGTAAAGGACCATATTGTACTGGGTCAGACTGGACTTGTAGGGAAGAGGTGTTGATGTAGCATCCCTTCTCAGTTGATTCCAGCACTTTAAGGAGCCAGGGTCTCCATATTCCGCCAAACAGGGAGCCACTCGGAGCTACAGGCAATTCCCCAACAGCTAGTTATTGAGAAGCCAGGGTCTTGGAACGGTTGGTTCTTGACTCTTTGGAACGGTTTGGTGGATCCACTGGCGTTTGACGAGGTTTGTCTCGGGCTCCGGTGGGGCGTTGGCGTAGCTGGTGGCGTGTCGGAGTAGCTGATGGATCCATGTAGCCTGTGGCGCAACGACAAAACGCGGCGTGCGAGCGTGGTTTGGGGGGCGAAAATAGTCATAGTTCAATATGATATTTAAGCGTTTTATTTAAGCGTTTTAGCCACCAAAAAACTATCTGTGCTATATATTTTTTAGGGCTCGTGGCCACCCCCAAGCTGCTCGAAAGGTGAGCCCTATAGGGACCAAGAACTACCAGCCCAGTCCATGTCTGTTGATGGATGCTTTGGTGGATTAAGCCGTTGTAGTCGCAGACGCTCTGAAAAACGCCTATCGACTGACCCTATCGACAGATGGGGGAAGTGAGAAGCGGGGTTGCACCGACGGATGGTCCAGTCATGAAACTTCTTCACCCAAACGCTCCGGACAGCCGGCCCCTACTTAGGACTTAGGAGAGTCTATATTCCCTAGGGCTCCAACTAACTACCTTCTGAGAAGAGTGTTGGGGTGGGTGCCAGGGGGGTCTAACCCTTCTTAGGATATGGTTGGATCCCTAGGGATTTGCCTTTGCGCAGTAAATCTTGAGAAGCGGGGCCCTCTGAAGAACCTTTCCGCTGTTCTGCGTTCTCCTGCGTGGGAGGCTCCCTTCAAGGACACTTGGCTTTCCAGTTGTGGAGCACTCGAACGGTCCAGGTCCGGTGAAGGAGAGATGAGACACCACGTCACCCGCTACGGGGGTGACGTCTTAAACTGTGAGTCCCAAAAGGTTCCCGCCTTGGGAGACTCCACCCACTTGGCTGGAGCTAATTCGCATGACTCATGACGCAATTGAGTTCTTCACTTTTGTTTGACACACAGACACACACAACCAGACTTGTGTGCTTCAAAACCCTGTACAAAACATGTGTCCAACTGTCTACCAAGCTGTTTGATACATCCAAAAGCTCACACCTAGTCTTGTCTTGACCGACCACCGGCTGGCTCGCCAGCCAAAACCAGTTTGATGATATTAAGAGCCTTGTTTTGCTGAGGGTGATTTCTGGGGAATATGTTAATAATGATTTTAGGCCGATTCCTGGACAGCAAATCCAAGTCAGACTCGGTGTTGGACAAGTGGGCACCTTTTCTCTTGAAGCGCCTAACAATGTTTATGAGTTTTATGTTGTTGTCCGTTTCCAAGAGGTGCAGTTGTCTCAAGAACTGCAGCAAAATTGCACAAACACAGACTTGGCTTTGCGGTCAGACTCAGATGATGTTTTTTTTCCTGGGAAACCTGGGTGTTCATCCCGAACAAATGGGTATCGATTTTTTCCCCGGCTTCCCCAAGTCCAGCAAGTCTGCAACTTCCACCCAGACGGGCCAGATGACGAAGATACACCCGCAAACAGCAGGGTTCCAGCCTCATGACTCTCTCCATGGCTGAGCTTTGGAGCGCCCGTTTGTGACCTCAAAGCAGGGGATCAAGTTCGGTCACCTTGAAGAACCAGGTTCTGAAAGAACACATATCATAGAATATCCTTTGCAAAAGAACCAGCAACACATGATGTGCTTAGTAAAAGATACATGTACAGTCAGTCAGCAGATGTTGCTAAGGTGACTGGAACAAAAGATACACGTATTAATGATGTTGCATCATGTGTTCTATTTTTGCAGAAGTTGTGTCATATTGAAGTTTCTGAATTCAATCGTTTATGTATATATATATATAACTGTTTGTGATGTTCATCGCACACATGTTTCTCCGCCCGTCTTACTTGCATGCTGTTTGCACAACATGATGTAGTTTCCCAATGGACAATGGAAGTGGACGATTCCCTGTTTGTAGAGGAACAAGGGTCTTTCCAGGGAGTATTTTCCACTTTCATGATTGCTTTGGGGAGGGTAGTCCAGGGTAATCACACTTTGCCTCAGGAGCCTTGCACATGATTAGCATTTTTGCACACCAGAGAACCCTGATTTCATGCCACACCTGGTGAAGGGACAGGGTTTGACGGTCACTATCCTTGGGACATGTGTGTTTGTTGTGTTCCCAAACTGAATGAATCCCTGCTGAGCTGTGTTTTTGTTGGCTTTGAACACCTCCAACTCCAGTGGGGGACTGGCGCCCCTTCTGCGGTCCAACGACCCGTCGACCACCCTCCAAGCGCGATCCGAACGTATGCTGACGAATGCTGAGACGCGGGAAGAGAAGGAGGAATACTGCCGAAAGCATCCGCAACCTGGCCTGATCAGGAGGTTCTTTGAGTTCCTTTTGTATGTTGGGGGGTCGCGTTATCGGGTTGCCAAGCCGTTTGGACGTAGGAGGGGGGAAGGGGAGCTTTCTAGTTTCAGGGCAATGAGTCGCAACAGCCAAGGCTTAAAGACTTCAAGACCTATAGACCAGAGTGGCAAAGTAGCGATGCAGTGAGTGAATGTGCATGGTGATGTGTTTTAAAGCTTACCTGAATCCAACTACATTTGCCATGCTTGTCATGTCATGTCGAAGCCAGAGTTCGTTGGCACACCATGTTCGTTGGCACACCGTGTTTGTGTTTCGGTGGTTTACCCACGACCTTTGGGTTCCTAGTTGCACCGGAAATCCAAGGAGTCCAAGGTAGTGTTGGAACCTCTCAACCTATTCTGACTGGTGCATTCGTAGGGAATGAGGGACCCCAAGACCTTACTAAGCACCAGTCGGTGGAAATACCCTGTCTCACCGGGGTTTTGTGGCCTCTAGGAGGTCACCGCAGGCGACGAACCGAAGGTCCGAGACTTGGGGATTGAGACCTTGAGACCTTGCCTTACCAGGGCGGGCTGGTATGTGGAGACGAGATGCGAAACCAAAGGTCAATGGAACCTGGAACTTTACATACAATAATCAGAACACATCGTTATTTCATGTTATTTCATGTTGCTTGTCTATACAGTCAGTCCCCAACGCAGGTACTGAACATGTCCATCAATGGGTAACAGTATCGCCGAAGACCCAAACGTTCCTGAATCTGTGGAGATTACCCTGAACATCATGTGTAATTCTTCACTGAATCCAAGGATCCACATAAGGTCCTTTGAGGATTGCGTGCTTAGCTTGATGTTGCCTGGGTCAGCCATGGTCAGGTCACGTCAGCTTCCCCGCCAAGGTACACGCCTGGCGACGCTGAGAACTTGGGGAACAAGTGGTGCTGGAAGCCTGCGGATTCTGGCGCAAGGCACCCTGTGATCCTGAAGTGGGAGGTCCTGAAACCTTGGGACAGAAATGGGAGATCACGCTAATTGAGTTATCAGCTAAATGGCCAGGGGGGGCACCAACCCCTGACACTCAATGGAACTGCCAGATTTAAACACACTGGGTTGGTTTTCAGAAACCCATGTAACGCATCTTTTTAGCCTCCTTTTTGGGTGCCCTGTCTGGAAGCCCATGTACGATCATGTACGTAGTGTAGGGTATACCTGGAACTTCCTCAGAGTCTTGTTTTTCGATCTGCGGCTTGAAAAACATCTTTTGGTGTCACAGCCTTATATTTGAGTCTGTGGATGTTTCTCTAGTTTTCTGATGTTCTTCTTTTGATATTCCACGGGCATTTATACACAAGCTAATAAGGGGCGGCGTGTTTTCCGAAAGTGTTTTTTCAGCGGATGTTTCTTTCAGTTTGCGGAGGTTTACGTGGTGCACAGACCTATGTTGAAAACTATGTTGAACGCCCGGCAGCCTAAAAAAACAAACCAGGAGGTTGCAGGATCTATACTCTATTGGAGACCGGGATGGTCTTCCGACTCCCAGTCCTGGACTCGACTCGTGCCGCGGAAGCCGCGGAGGAAGAGCTGCGGCCCCGAACCGGAACGAGACCTGGGGCGGATGGTGAAAGGTTGCCATGGTGCCTTGGTGTTTTCTGCTACGGCACCACCCGTTTGACATCAATTGACCGGTTTTTTTTCCGAAAAGGGTCGAAAGGGTGGCCTCCCCCCAAAAGAAGTCGATAGACCCGGAGATCTCCATGCCATTGGCCATATTTGCCGTGGAGTTGGGGTTGTTTCCGAATGGAACCGGGACGAACGGAGTGGATTGGCTTTGCACTCTTGGGCTGGTGCATTGATGGGAAGGGGATGGAAGGGGATACAATCGTGTTCCTGTACAATGAGTCCAAACAGGATATTGATTGGAGTGGAAGGGCGTTCTTGAATGGATCTCATCAAAGCACAAGAGGTTAACATGACGGATCACAGAGTAGGAAGCAACACATAGTAGATCTGGGTCACGAGAAAAGGACTTAGTAGAATTGTGTAAGATGTTGTAAGGTATATTATTACACATTATTACACATTTCTTTTGGTTTAGTCCATTGCCCTGGTGTTGTTTATGTGTTTTTCCATGTCCCTTTTGGGTATTTGGGTAAATCCCCTTCTTGCTTATTCCAAGTTTCTGGACAGCAAATTGAACTTGTTATGATATGTGACCAACCATCACTGCAGGAGCCGAGCTGTCCAAATGGGAAGGATGATTCTAGACATGAACGGGTCTCGTTTTTGAGGACTGCGGACTCGGTCAGATCGAGTTTGGGTCCTTTCAGGCAAAGACACTCGACGTTTTGATCGATCACACACAGGTTGTTCATGGTTTTGCGCCTGGAATATGGAAGATGCGCCTGATGTTAATGTAGACATATGTAGACATATGTAGACTCTTCATTTAAAAATCAAACATGGATTGAACAACCTCCTCGTCTAGACGGTAATTCATCAATCGTCTACTGTATACATCAAAGGACATCGTTTGCAGTTTCTACCCTCCTGAAGATTCACTTGGACCCTGAAAACCACAGGGTGGCAGATGAGAAGAGTCTTACAGGGGTCCATTTTCATGTTCCATGTTAGTCTGCAGGGGGGTTCTGAAAGTGAACTCATTGATAGCGGAGAAATACGTATATCTTTCAAAGGAATATGTCTATATAGTCGTGCGGACTGGGGAGACACTGTACTTCATGAGCTGTTTTGCAGGTTTCTAGAACTTAAGTAAAGCTCTAGGCCCATTCTGAAGGAGAATGTGCTAAGACTGCAAGGGCTGCGGAGGTCCTTGCGACACCGCCAAGCGACACCCCGCTGCATGAGGCCCCAACAACTGCTTTGACCAGAAGTACAAGGCGCCAGTTGGATGTGGCCTGAGTGTGGATTATCTTGTTTTTTGTTGGGGGGTGGGGGGGTAGATGATTTTTAGAGGTCCCGGTTCCCTGCGTTTTCATCCCCTATTTGCGCTATTTGATTTGTTCCCGGTTTTTTTTGAAGTCCACCGCCCGTCCCTTCGCGGTGTTCGGCTCTCCAGCCTGTGTCCGATGTCAGGTTTGGTCTGCAACACAAAGCTATTCTTGGATTTGCTGATTTCAGGAAACCGCAGGGACTTTTTTTGGACCTTCTGACAGCCTTCGGTCTTGCCTGTAGCCTGCGAGCGCGGGGGAAAAGAATATGCAGCCTTCCACATGCCGGATTTACCCATACCAGTTAGAATGTGTTAAAATCAAGTCACCCGATCAGCCATCAGCCAAACCAGAGCAGAGAAGCTCAGAAATTTGGCAAAAGCGGATTCGCCTAGTTCGGGAAAATACCAATCACATCATCCGATCGGCCAAACCAGGCGAATGAAGCTCAGGATTTTGTGAAGGGTTCCCCCATTGACATTTGTGGGGGTATAACATCACATGAAGCAACATCAGGCGATGGACCGAAACATGGCTAAGCCTTCCTCCGCGAAGGGACCAGCCTTCCCCCGCGTCGAGCCTTACGTGTCGGACCTGCGGATCGTCGTGGAGGTGGCTTTGACTGGAGTCTTGATCGCGTCCAGTGTGGCATTGCATGTGATGTACAAGTGTGGCAGCCCAGTGGAGAGTAGCGCGGGATAGCGCGGGTTTGGGTCCAGGGGGAGGCTGATGTCATACTGGAGATCTCTAGAAGGTGTTTAGAAAGGGGTTGCCCTTTGATGAACGCAATGCAATGCAACACTTACAGACTCTGTTTAGGCCTGGCCATGGCCTGGCCTAGTTCAGTTGATTTTAGCCTCTCACCTTGGGTGAGCGAGGGCAAGTACTTTAACACATTTCTTCTCAGGTGGGATGTCATCCTTTGTCAATGGGTTGAGAGTGAGGGTGGGGGAATGGGGTGCCCTATCCCCAGACACTCCATGTATGGTGTATATCTAAACAACTATATATGAGTCGTTTTCAAAATTATCGTCATTGAATTTATACAAGGGCGTTTCATCCAAGAGTGTGATTTTTGGTTTTCCTTGGAAATGATACGGGACGTCCCAAAATCGATACCCCTATTGCTACATGCATTAGTTCCTTGAGTTTTTTGAGTTCATTTCGGTATGTCGTCCTGCTACAGCAACTCTTCTGAGTTTGAAGGACGTCACTTCATGAACTGGTTTGTTCTTGCAAGCGTCACATGCAATTGGGAATTGTGATTGCTTGTGTTTGGAGGGCTGTGTCCTGGCTTTTGGCTCATGGGCTGGCCCCAGCCTATGAGGAAAGGCTAGGCTCCAGCTCCACCACTGAAGAAGGTACACACCATTGTCCGCCTGTCTTGGTTTGGAAAGGGGTTGTTTTTCTTTGGTGTAGCGTGAGCATAGCGCGTGTGCTTACAAGCAGTTGGATGTCATAAAGCATACAAAAAGTCAACATCATAAAACGATACCGCAACAATACACCAAGCTCCTTAGACAGGGCCCCATGGGCAAGTCTGCAAAGGTGCAGGCAGGCTTGTGTCTTCTAGTGATCGAGATCAGATCAGCAAACGAACGGAAGAACCAGCAATGCTGCGCTTGCTGGAGCAGCCCTCCGTGCTGTTGTCCTTCCTCACTTCACAGAGCTCGTCACACGTCCAGTGTTTTCGGGGGATATTCTCAGATCATGAATGATCACGAATAGGTTCCTGTGTCTTGTTGTCTATGCGTTTGTGTTTGTGTTTTGTTGTTATGATCTGTGACGTTCATTGTGGGTGGCAGGATTCCACCATGCGAAACGTGTAAACCCTGCAAAACGATACCAAACATTGTAAAACGACACGGGACGTCCTTTTGAGTGAAAACAACTTAAGCAAGTAACTTAGAAAACAACTCATATATATACAATACATGATCATATCCATATAATCATTTACAGGTATACACGGACATTGACCCCTGAACCCCTATGGATATACATAAAGGACTTGGGTTTTGTAATGTTGCGTCTTTCTAAGTTTAGACAATCCCCCCAGCGACAGCTCCATCTTTTGAAGTTCCATTCTTCCCAGATCCTGGGACGCTGGGACTGTGCGTTTTCAACGCACGATGTTTTCACGCCGAGGCTGGGAGTGCTGGGCTTGAAGTGAGCGGAAGACCACCAGAGTGCGCTTTTCGCGCCCGTCGACGCTAGCGCATGGAGACGAGTGTGGGAAACAAGAGGCCGATGCCGAGGACGAGTGTAGTTGTGGTCTCATTTTAGCGCTCTTTTCGGGGCACCCTTCTATTGAATTCTTGGTGACTCCCTTTTCTGAAACATCAATTCCACATGTTTCATCACCTGATGAATATGTTTCACTTGTAGCAGACTTTGGAAACACATGTCCCACAACCATCGATGTCAAAAACAAATGCAGATTTGTTGGAAGAATCCACCATGGTGAGATGCATCGAGATGCCTGCCTTTTTTGACACCTTTGTTTGAGGGTAGCCAAGGGAATCCTTGACATGATGGAATCCTCGGAGTAGTGATCACAGGCCATGGAGTATCAAACACTGATTTGAAGAAAAAATCAATGAGATCGATCACTGGGTTTGGAACATTTGGGGCAGAAAGGCCAGATGCTTTTCGGAGCAGGATGTTCACTATCGGTTTTACACAACACTCCCGAAAACCCTATGGACCCTGAAAGACTGTTTTCCTGTAGGGGTCCATTTTTGTTTTCAGTTTGGTCATAACATTGACATGAACAACTGGACTGGACTTGTTTCTGGGCAGGATGTTTTTTTGGAGTTTTTTTTCCATGTTAAGATTGTTAAGGACCAACCGTGTGATACCTGGGGTTATCTTCTTGAAGATAGTGCCACAGACTCTTCGCCAGGATTTAGCAGAGCCAGGGGAATGCAATGATTTGTTGTCATAGCAGACACGCAAGAGGAGTCGCTGGTAGTTGGTGCAACGAACATCACCCTTGTTTGGAAAACTTGGAGGTCGATGCTCCTTTGCGAAAAGCAACACATTTGATATCCCACAATGAATGATCACCTGATTCATCCTGATTCCCAAATGTAATGGACATTGGAATGTGTTGGACATTGGCATCTGGACTGATCTGGTTTGGCAGTTGCTGATGTTTCAGATTCGTTATGGCTCGTAGAATCTCCAGGGCGAGCGGGCCAGACTGCCACGACGTCCACGACGCCCACGACGCGCTGACCGACCCGATGAGAAACTCCCGATTGGCTCAACCGGTCCTGACGACTGAACCGAGACATGGCTCAACTGCCGAGGCTTGTTACAAGCCAGACAGAGCCAGAAAGGTATGGATCCAAGAGCGTCGAAGAGACCGGCGTTTCAGCTCAGATGTGACATATGACAACATGGTCCTACGACATTGGACAGGGCCTTCAAAATCCTTTCAGAAAAGAAGGGCCCTTCACCTCGCCCTAGCTCACCATGGTGCACGTCGACATGGCCCAAAGGCATCAACGGATTGTTATTTGTTCATCGATGTTCATCGCATTGCTATACCAAGTGTTTCTTTCCTGAAAAAGTGCGCGTGAGAGAAACTCCCCTCTCAAATTCTTTGCACAGAGATCTCCAACCAATGAGAATGAGTTTTTTGGACAGGAGATGCACTGCCAAGTGTCTCCTTGGACAACGTTGGATCATTGACATGTTGCACCACCATCAGCCATTGAATAAGCTACAGAATCTAAGTCTTCTCAGCTCTTTTTGTGTAGTATTAACTTGGTTTCTCTTGGATTTGTTAATAACCTCCTCAACAGCAGCTTCAGATTCAAGCAATTGCTGCCACATGGCCCACTGACTCCAGCGATGGAGGAGATATGAACCGGTCGAACGGGAGGTTTGACGAGGATTCCACAGCCAATCAATCAATAATCTCTTTTGCTGGATCATTTACAGGAAAAGTATAATTAAATGTTCCTGACTTGGCATGCTGCAAAACTTCCTGTAGATGTTCTCTAGACAAACCCAACGAGCCAAACCATGAGCTCAGATTCGATGCACTAGGAGCCGGAGCCACAAAAAGACGCCACGGCCGCAGAGCCAAGACCATATCGGCTCCCCAGTGTTGAAAAACCACTCAAGACTTATCCTACCAGTCCACAAACTCTTTCAGATGGTGCGTGGTGAAGGGGTTTGCAGGATCTAGATGGCTTGCATCCGGCCAGCCACTCAGACTCAGCTCATCGATATCTGAACAGACTTGCCCAACAGATCCCATCGGGCAACTGAACCGGGCAACTCACCCTGACGGTGCGGTGCCTCAAAAAAGACCGAAGCCCTGACGGTGCCCTGACCTGCCAGGATGATGATCTCCCTCCACCCGACCTTGAGCTGCCCACCGCTTCGGCGCGTCCACCGGCTGCACCGGCTTCCAGGCCGGGGTCAGGCGCCAGGCATGGCTGGTCCAAGAAATGCAGTGACCCGCCACCCATGCAAAGCAGTGACCCTTTGCCGGCGGAGATGACCCTGTCACCACCTGTTTTCAACTTCTGAAACTGCAGAAGACACAAAAATAACATTCGGTCGGGTGCGCAAACGGTTCCGTGCAGAGCCAAGGACCTGCTAGAAGACCAGTTTTCCGCGTGAAAGGCTGTGAAGTTACACACGGTGTGTTTGGGGGTGAATGAATCGGGGTGAGAACAAATTGTGCAATATTTCAGGGTGCAAACACTGTGCAATATTTCAGGGTGCAAACACTGTGAACATTGCTTCAAGACCCAAAGCTACAGGTGATGCTGTTGAAGCAAGAAATCTTTCATGGTCCTTGAGAAGATCTAGTAGTTTGACTAGCGGGGTTTGCACATCAGGGCGTGCAGCTTGTGCTTCCCAGAGAGTCATTGTTTTTTGATCCTTTGGATCTCCATAGGATGTGTTCGTTTTGGGAATGAGGACTGGAAACTGTTTCTGGATTTGTGCCTTGGGACTGGAGGCACCTCTGGTGCTTCCGTCTTTGGGACTGTTTGGTGTACTAGGCACCCTATAGGGCTCCTGGCCCACTTCCGAAATGGAGGTCGTTGGAGACCTTGAGACTTGAAGTTGTCTTCTTATAGATATCCCTAGGGCTCCAAGTACCTTCGTTTCGAAGGTGTTTGGGGTGGGTTTAGAGGGTCCAAGTACCTTCTAAGGAGGTACTTGGAGCCCTAGGGATATATATATATACACATACTGCGTAGCTGCCTAGCAACGAAGACACTTCCTAGAGGCATCTTGTACTGCCTCCCCTTCGACTTTGTGATAGGCCAAATGGACCCTTGGATGGAAGGCTACTATACATCTGTACCAATTCCATTCAATATATCATCTGTACAGTTAACTGTACCTTTGTATGAAAAACATGGACATCCCATAGGACATTCCCAGTGCCGTTCTCTCTTTGTCAACCTCAGTGCCGTCCCGCGAGGCCGGGTCAGCCGACCGCTTTCAGCGGACCCGCCGGCAGTGCCGGGCCCGCCGTGGAGCTCGGGGGCCCGAGGACGGTGGAGACTTTTCTAAGTGAGTTGACATGCAGGTAAGCACTTTTATTTTGGGGGTTGATTGTATCCCCAGCAAGCACCAAACAAAAGAGGTGTGTCTCTTTTTCTATAAATAATAAATACAGCACATCTAATATATATATATATACACAAAAGAGGTGTGTGTTTTTTCTATATATATAAGTATATATACACAACATTACAAAACAATTCTTGGTTTCTGGGTCTTTCCCACCGACCTGTGCCGTGGAAGTCTTGGAACCCATCGACCAGCGACGTCAGAGACGATGGAAGTCGCTGGGGTGGAACCCAAAAGCGGAGCGGACCAGGCGGAGCGTCGTAGCGGAAACGGACATGGTCGGACACTCGAAGAAACCACAGGTATAGGTTTGGTGTACCAATTTTGAGGTATGTACGGGTCGACCTGGAGTTGCCAACATTCACCCTGTTTCAACCACCCCAATTTATGCAAAGGGTGATGCGTTCGACACTTTGATGTAGGCGCCAGAAGGGTCCAAACACATAAGGAGGTTTTTGGATACACTCTGACCCACTAACATGGAAGGTCTCCGAACAGTCCTTTTTTTCCAGGCCCATGCAACGTGAGTGGGAGTGTATGACAGCGGCCTGGAACGACCTGCTTGGGGATCATTACAGGACATGTGTTTGGATGACCGCCACAACTGCCGGGCATCCCTATGCTCAGAGTCGATGGATGATTTGATCTATTTGTTGTGCTCCAAACAATCTCAAACGTATCAATAGAAGTTCAGCATTCTTACATATGTATTTACAACACATTCTATATATGGATGCAGACTGGGCCCTTGGTTTGGCTTGCGGCCTTTCTCGACGAATACCCACAAAGATCCTTACGTAAGTGAATCTTTTTCTTCGGTCCTTCTTGACATTACTATATAAATTTTGAGTTATAACTAAGTTATATCTTCAGTTATGGAACTACAAGTTATAACTTGTATTAACTTATATAGGAAACTCAAGTTATTTTTTAGTTATAACTTCAGTTATGGAACTACAAGTTAACTTGTATTTTGATAACATCATTTGTATTAGGATATATATAACTATAGTCTTAGGATACTCGTGGTCTGTGGTCACCACCGCTTCCGACCACGACCCGAATCAGTATGGGTGTGGGTGTTGGTGTTGGTGCTGCCCTCCACTTCTCAGGTCTCAGGTTGCTTATCTCCGGATTGACCCTCGGGGAATCACGCCGGCGCGCCGCCACAGGCGCGGTCTGGCGGAGTGTTTTTTGAGCTGCAAAAAGGCTGAACATGGTGCTTGGGGCCTTGGGGCCTGGCCTGGAGCCCCGAGGGTGCACTTTGGACTTACAGGATCTTAAGTTGAAATCAGTTGACTAGCAAGCCCCAACTCCCAGAGGCTCCGATGTTTCTTGGATGTATTTGTATTATACTTTATCTATATGTACTCCATTTTGCTCCATCCCTTTTTCTTCGCCCAAGAACCTTCCACATACCACCCTGGTCACCTTTCTTATCCCTCATACCACCACCGCCCGGGACGATACCACGCTGCCAGGGCGAGAGAGGAAGCGCCACCGCCTTCCCCACGCTCCAACCGCTCCCAGTCCCGCGGCCAGTCCCGTAGCCGAGCACCCACGCCC